TCCTCCGCTTTGTGTCTGATGGATTCATCACTTACTGACAAACACACAAAAAGAGGCATTTGGGTGAATGTTCACTGTTTACAACAACATGTGACCAAACATGCAACACTGTCACAGCCACAGAGGGAACACGGCGAGTTTCCTGAGGCGCCGAGACGTTTTCCATGCTTCCCAAACCTTAAATGAAGCGAACGCTCACCACAAACCATGTGACAGCGTTATCATTGCCCAGGTGTGTCAGAGAGAGGAACAACGGGGAGCACATGAAGAAGACTGCACTCCCAGAACGCCACAGGAAAGAGCTGCGACGGAGACGCCTCCTCCACGCCTCAGTGTGTTCACGGGAGATCGACCAGCAGGTGATGGATGCGGCCTGACGCCACCCGAGGGCTCCGAGTTCTCCTCACGCGTCACCTGCACACACCTGCAGGCCTCTAAAACACGTCGCTGTAAAACGTGCTGGTGACCTCTGACACCTGTGTTCCTCTTCTTACTACATCTGAGAGGGAAGGACGGCGCCGGCACCTCAGGCGCGAAGATACCGTCAAACGGCTCAGCCGAGCTGGGGCGCGATGGACCACCTCTGACATCATCCTCAGCTTCACGAGAGCACCGAAGCTCAGCCACGCAGACCCACAGCGCTGTAAGCCGTCACACGTGGGAACGTGTCTGCTTCCTGTGTACACAGCGAGCACGCGCTCCCTCCTCGCTCAGACCGTCTGCACGCCAGAGAGATAAAACCACACCACCCAAAAAAGTTGGATGAATTATGGAGGAGCGGGCGCTGCAGAACATTCGTTCAACTGAATTTATTATGAAGCGTTTTGCTCGCGCTTCCTCGTCGCTCTATATTTACCTCTGCGAGTGTTTTCATTTCGCGAGCCGCCCCCGCGCTCGCTCCAGCTTCCACCAGCGTGGGCTGAGCTGTAAGTGAGGAGCGAGAACAGGAGGAGGTCGCTATAAATCCCAGCCGCGTTCAGGCACCTGAACGCCTCGCTCACACAGAGGGGCGCGCCTCGGAGGAGGAGGGGATGGAAATAGACTCCGTCAATCAGCCAGAAAACGCCGCTGATGCTGAATGGCGTTTTGGTGCTGATGGCGTGGAGGCAGGTCGGGCATGTGCGGCTGAAGAACACAAATGTGTACGTAGGCGCTTTCACAGCATCGCTGTTACTTCACGCCCAGGACGGAAACGCTGCTGGCTCTAATAAATATTTGGTTCCAGCGCAATTTCACGCCCGCCTGTACTGCCGGCCCCGCCCACCTGTGCCGCCGGCCCCGCCCACTGCTGCCCGTCATTGATGAACGGTCCTCCATGTGACCTTTCCCAGCCGGGATGTCAATCACATCCAAACACAGCAGGCACCACGATGCCGACCAGAGCAACGGTGGAACCATCAGGACTGAACCTGGACCCGCTCAGGTGTGTCTGCTGCAGGTGTTTGTGCCGTGAGGAGGCCGCAGCGTTCGTGTGAGGCGACACGGCGTGCTGCTTGTTCGTGTGAGGCGACACGGCGTGCTGCATAAGACATGCAGACTGCAGGAGCAACGTTAACCACCCACCTGAGCGACCCAGCCAGCTGTTCCAGCTGCTGTCGTTTTATGACGTCATCAGTTGTTGCTACAGTAAAGTGGGCAGACCTGTGAGGGTCACTGATGCTTCATCGATCGTGTC